TTTCTGAGCCAGTGCACTCCAAAGAGAGACATGTCAATTTCAGGGGCCTGTGGCCATGATGGGAGGAAAATGTTAGAATGTCTATTCGTACTTTTTCATAAGAAAAAAAATTCAGCTTCCTATTTATAGAATAATGCTGATTCCTTCATCCGGTCCCTAGGTCAGACAGTCAGAGGTCCTCCAAGGGGCAGGAAGTAGCAGCCTAAGTCAGCAGAACCAAGGAACACTGGACAAGGAAACCTGCTAGAGCAGTCACCAACTCCAGCACCAGGGGGAGCTCTGCAGCTGTGTGATGTCTACTGCTAAAGCCGCTTTATGGACCTTACCCCATTGAAATAAAATAGATTAGCTAAATAGATTAGCAGCTTGAAAGATTGGTGTGAAGGAAGTAGAAGCTATAGACAATACTCAACTTCAAGTAAGTAAGAAAATAATGGAGAGCTGGGAAGGGGGCTCAGTGGTAGAGGGCTTGCCTTGCATGCATGAGGCCCTGGGTTCGATTCCTCAGCACCACATAAGCAGAAAAAGCCGAAGTGGCGCTTGGCTCAATTGGTAGAGCACTAGCCTTGAGCAGAAGAGCTGAGGGACAGGGCCCAGGCCCAGAGTTCAGGCCCCATGACTGATTAAAAACAATAAGAAAGAAAGAAAATAATGGAGCTTCTACTTCTGCTCTTGGTGAACACAAACTAATCACATCATACAAGGAGATGACCAAACACCTCAATTATCAAGACAAATGGGCTTACGTGGGTCACTAAGTGGGTATTTGAAAGAGAGAAGATTTTCCATCCTAGAAGAAATCTATATTCAAATTTCCAAACCCACTGAGACACTAGGAACTTGGACTATACACAGGATAAATTTGACATAATCCACAAAGGAGGCACACAAGGTATAGGTCAGCAAAGATTTATTTAATGCAAGAAGACAAAGCAGGGTGTAAAGAAAGAGGAGAACAAGCTAGCTCCTTTGACAAGCTATCAGAAGTGGGAGCTAAGGCTCAGTGGATAGTCTTCAATCCAAGGGTATTTATGTCTCTTTCTGTGTCGAGGGTACAAGTCCAAAACTGTCGACTTGAATGCATGGTCACATAGCAATTTGCCAATTACCCTGTTTTAATACTACCACCCAAGTAGTAGTATTAAAGATAACAGGGTTAAGTTTGTCTTACAATCAAAGGATCTTGTGCCACTAAATACCATTTCTTTATGTTCCTTTGCATACCATTAAGTACCTTTCTTGAATTCAGGGCCTAGGTACTATCCATGAGCTTCTCTGTTCCAGGATGGTGCTCTACCACTTGAGCCACAGCTCCACTTCCAGCATTTTTAGTGCTTAGTTGAAGGCAAGAGTCTCATGAACTTTCCAGCCTAGGCTGGATTTCAACCATGATCCTCAGATCTCAGCCTCCTGAGTAGCTAGTATGTGTAGCTAGATGTAAGCCACTGATGCCCAGCTGTTCTTTTTCTTTTTAAGGTAATTTTCGTGGACACACATTTACAAGAAAAGGCAGGTATTTCTTTTTTGGCAGTTTTTCCATTTGTATTTGTGGGAAAGTTTTTTATATAAATGTGGGGATATAAAGCATTAATGCAAGTCAAAACTTTTTCATTTGGTCGTTTCAGTTCAGCTTTTAACAATTATATATAAACCTACTAATTTTTTCTGGACAATGCCAACACTCAGATTTTTTTTAATATCTAAATTTTAAGTAAGTGCCAGTGGCTTGTGTCCCTAACTACTCACAAGACTGAGTTCTGGAAGATAGGAGTTCAAGACCTGAAAAATCAGGTACTTTCTGTTCATGGATTAAATTCCTCAGCCAGAAGAGATGAGAGGGGCATCTGCTTTTATATCAAATCTTGGCTATGGTAAATAGTGCTGCAATGAACATGGTTGTGCTGGTGGCTTTATTGTAGCCTTGTTTGTGCTCTACTGTATAAATGTTCAGGAGAGAATTTATGGGTCATAGGGTAGCTCTGTGTTTGGCTTTATGAGGAACCTCCATACTGCTTTCCAAAGTGGTTAAACAGGCTTACAATCCCACTATCAGTGTAATAGAATTCCCTTTTGAGAACCCTACTGCATTGTTGGTAGGAGTGTAAACTTGTTCAACCACTTTGGATAGCAGTATGGAGGTTCCTCAAAAGACTCCACATAGAGCTCCCCTATGACTCAGCAATCCCACTTCTGGGCATTTACCCAAATGAGAACAAACAAGGCCATACTAAAGCTACCAGCACAACTGTGTTTCTTGCAACATTATTCACCATAGCTAAGATATGGAACCAACCCAGATGCCCCTCAGTAGATGAATGGATCAAGAAAATGTGACACACACACACACACACACACACACACACACACACACACACACACACACACACACACACACACACACACACACACACACACACACACACACACACACACACACACACACACACACACACACACACACACACACACACACACACACACACACACACACACACACACACACACACACACACACACACACACACACACACACTGGAATTCTATGCCTCCATAGAATGATATCGCCCTATTTGTTAGGAAATGGAAAGACCTGGAAAAAAACTATATTAAGTGAAGTAAGCCAGGCCCAAAGAAACATACGTTCCCTTATTTGCAATA